AAGACGAACCCTATATATATATATATAATTAACTAGAATGTATATATGTATGTATATATATATATACATATATGTACATATATATAGAGACATATATATATATATACATATATGTATACTCAACTCTGTATATGTATATATACAGAGTTGAGTATACATATATGTATATATATATATATAGAAGCCATACATATCCTAAATAAATATTTCTGGCATAGTCATATATACATCAAACGTTGTATGACTAATATATATATATATATATGTATAGTAGAAGCCAGAAAGTTGGAACATAGATTTAGGAGGATTAGTGCTAGGATCCCTTATACTTTAACTTATAAGGGCATGAGGATAATGATGTTCCAACTTTCTGGCTTCTATATGTATATCTATATATATATATATATATGTGTGTAGACAACCATCTACAAGCCTGCAGGTAACCGCGGTAATATTTGCGTGCGACTCCTGGTTTGCAGCCGGGTGGCTTCGAATGGTACAGGACTGGTACCAAGCATTTGCGGCAGCAGCTGCACGAAGTGCCGCGCATAGGCAAAGGGGTATTCCCTGAGCCAAGTTGTGTGATTTGCAGGGCAGGGGAGACTTGCTTCAGATTGGTACCATTCAATTAGTATTCAGCTGTACTGTAATTTCAAACAAGGATCTGTGTGGGCTTCAAGTTTTTGTTGGCAGTCCAACACCTCTTTCCATTCCTTTCCTCACGTGTTACTGTTTTCACAGTTGTCACTCTTTCCTGAGGAGTCAAGCGCCCCAAGTCCAGGTGCCGGATTTGGTCAGAGGTAGACCATAACCATGTGCGCTTCCAGGTAAAGCTGCTGAACTTTCGCATCCACATAGAGACTTTGTACGTCTTAGTTGTGTAGAAAGACAAAACACATCGAAGAATGAAGTAGCTCTATACAGTGGCTAGTATACACAACCGCACGAACAGTACAGTGAAGAGGCACTGTGACACCCACTGCCCGCAACCGCTGCAGAAGCTCTACGTAGCGCTCGTGCAAGGCAATCAAAGACCCCTGTGGATTCTCCAGGACATAATGGCCACCGGCAGCGATGATCAAGTACATGAGGAGGGTGCTCCTGTCCCGTTTGGGTTCCCACTTTACCTACTTAGATTGCACATTCACAGATGCTCCCTTTTGTACGAGTACTAGACTTACATCTCTCCTGGCCATAAGCTTGTTGGCTTTGCGAACACTCACCACAGACTCGTCCCCATGGGGACATAGGTAGCACCGCTTGGACGTGCCTTTGTTAACAGGCACCCAGGTTGAGCAAACAACCCCGAGGGCGGCAACGACGTGGTCCAGTTTGCAGCGTAAAATCATCGATATGGCGATCCTCAGCCAAGACTCGAAGCGTGTTATGTTTGCAAACCACAAAGCCAAAGCACAGGTGCATGTAGAAGCCTTATATAATTGAACATTGAAACATTGCACAGCAAGCATCACCATACCTGCGTTTGAGTTGAGATCCATGGATGATCTTTTGCCCTTTGCAGCCCCACGTCGGTCCCCGTAGCATTTGTCATATGCTTGTACCCGATAGCCAGCCCCTGAGGCTATGAGGGCCAAGCGAGCCTTCCCAGCGAAGTAGTCCAGGAACTCGACCCCATCGTCAGGGGATATCTCAAGCCACCACACCAGCAAGACCAAGAAGATGAGCACCTTGCATCACGACAGAGAGAGAGAGGGCACCGCAAATGATACGAAGAGAGACGGGAAGACAAAGAGAGAAGGGACGGTACCAAAGCATGAGGGTTGACAAGGGAGTGCAGGACTTGCTAAAAGGAGGAAAAGACTCCATGCGCACACGAGAGCAAGCAGTATTAAACATACACAGGGGCGCCAACACCACGCAAAGTCGGTCTCCAGGTAGGTGGATAGGCACGCAGGTTGGAGTGTTCAGCTGATACATCTATATGTGTATATAAATATAGAGAGATCGAGAGAGAGAGAGAGACAGAGAGAGAGAGAGAGAGAGAGAGAGAGAGATCGAGAGAGAGGCATGTGTGCATGCTAAACATCAGCATGACATGCACGGTAATTACGTGGGAACGTCGGTATAGAGGTGTTGCTTGGCATGGACAGTGTACAGAGCACAGAACAGACTGAATGTGCGGAAAATTGACACACATTCTGAAACCGAAGACATGGCCACATGCACAAGCACATATGGCAGCACGTGTGTGTGTGTATGTGTATGTGTGTATATATATGTATGTATGCATATATATATATATATACAAATGTATATGTGTGTGTGCGTGTAGTCAGGAGAACCCAGTGGATGATAGTGTACCTCACATGGCCCGAGTACAACTATACACATACATATATATGTATATATATATATATATATATGCGCAAGCATGCACTGATTTAGATGCACATGGCATGCATGTACAGTTAACACACATGCATACTTTCATTCAAACAGCCAGGTGACTTTCGGCGCTTGCAAGAAGAAGAGGCGACGAAGAAACGTATCGAAATCTTCCGGGGACATGGCTGCAACAGCTCCCAAGGGACTTCTTCAAGGTTGCTCCGGGGCAGTGTAGGAGTACTTCGCACTAGTTTGAGGGCTTATTATATATAGGGGTTTTAGAGGGCTTTTTTTAATATCATATATATATATATATATATATATATTTATTAGGGGTTTGGGAAGAGGCTTGTATACACATATATATAGATATATATATATATATATATTGCAGGGCTTACAAGGGTTGATAGGGATTTTAAGGGCTTATGGTTTAGAACATATTATTAATTGTATATTCTAGGGCTTTCTTGCTAGATAAACATACAACATCCAGAGCAGGCTTCGAAGCTCCACACATCAGCAAAGGCAAACCTATGCATGGGGCTGCACAGGCAAAGCTTCTGTTTGGACTTCACCGTTTGGCCAGGTTTGCTCCTGCAAGGGAACCGAACAAAACATGCATTGCAGCTTGAACTCCTTTAACTGGATCGAGGGCTCTAGTTCCATTTCGAGGCTGCGAAACTATATGTCATATATATATATACATATAGGCGCCTGACAGATTCTTGTTTCGGGTTCTTGGTTATGCATACAGTTCAATATACACCAATTAAGACCCGATTGTATCCTTTAATTCAGGCCTCCATACTCAGCCCCGAGTTACCCCTCGTAGAACCCTGAAAGGAACCCTCTGTAAACCCTTACACGGGGTCGGCCGGGGGACTTAGTAAGTAGGCAATAAGTAGATTTCTAAATACCCTAAAACGGACCCTAATTGGGGTTGTCGTACTTATATAAGTCCCTATATATATATAATAACCAGTTGCCAAGTCCCCCAACCCTCCAAGTAGACGTTAGAAACAACCAAGGCCTGAACCCTATAAATCCTATAAACCCCAGACCCTCGATCAACCCCATATATAAACCCCCTTACGAGGGAGCCCTCATAATCCCCTTGAAAGGAGCCCTTCTAATCCCCTATATAAGGGAGCCCTATATATATATACATATGATCCTAAACCCCTATGAACCCCTTATAAACCTGCAAGGATTATCGCGCTCTCTGGGCAGGGTGGATGTGGAGCTTGGAAGTTACAGAGGAACTTTGCTAACGTAGGGTTCATATATATATAGGATCCATTCCCGCCAGTCAACCCTATGTATATAATATATACATATATATATATATAAAAACCCTATATATATATATATAGGGTTTATATATATATATATACATAGGGCTGACTGGCGGGAATGGATCCTATTGAAGGGTTCAGAGTTTTCATTAACACTGAATAACCTACATGTTATATATATATCTATATATACATATATATATAGGGTTCCTTGTTATGATATTCTTATATAAGTAGGTTAGTCCGGGTTATATAAGATATATATAGGATGCTATATATATATATATATATATAGGGTTCATGTAATGTTATATGGGAATTGGGTGTCTATATATATAGGGGTGCAGTATAAAGCGCATTGTAGGGGTTTCGTATTCATAGAGGCCTTGGGGTGATGCTGGGGACAGCCTGTCAACGAAGAGCGAATCACAGGACGACCTTAATTGCATCCTTAGAAAATGTGTACAAGAGCAGCAACGACTATTAGTAGATCTACAACTTGCTGCAAGCAGATTGCAGCAGATCGAATCATGAAATCATATTTGTTTGCGGTCTGTCGCTTTATAGACGCATATGCATAATAATGCAAGGACCCTTGTTCAGTTCACACCGTGAGCTGCTGCACGGTCTACGTGTAGTTAAAACCGCCCATGTATAAACCCCCATGCAGAGATCTCCACAATTCGTTCTATTAGGCACATAGTCGAGGGAGGGTATATAGGATTCAATTTAGAATTTAAGGCGTTGCATCTTAGTTTGGTTATATACAGGCCGTCCTTGTTTACCCCATGCATGCATACCCCAGCCAGAAAGAACCCTTGTAATCAAGATAGCAATCCCAACTAAGAAAAGCTCCCACAGCCCTGCAGATCTAGAAAACCACAGTCCCCAAGGTGCAGGGGGGCACTCGGCCCGGTACCGAACTTCCACAAATTGATGCTGTGGCGCGGCATGCTGGCACGGCCTGCACGTATGAGGCCGTTGTTCAGGGATTCGGTTTCCTGTTTGTAGATGTTAATTGTACTAGCTCAATTTAATACACGCAACAAGCTCAGATCTGAACAGGTCTGTGGTTTCGGCATAAAGCGATGCAGCCCAGCGTTAGTTTTGCTCCAGCAGCGTCCATCGGTTGTATCCACAGACACAGCCTGAACAGAAAGATGAAAAGCCTCAAAGCCCCATGTGCATATAGATCTCGATCTCGAGCTGCATATGTGTGCATATACAAATGCAGGGGTACCCGTGGCAGCACGTGTTAGCACATGCTAGCCCCCAGTCAAAATGCGTGCATGCTCACATGCACGGCTTGCTTCAAACACATCACTGCTGCAAAATGCAGCTGCCTGCTCTCAGCGCTCAGACCGTCATGTCATCCAGCGCAAGCTTCAAGAACCTTGTCACCCTTGGGAACAGCTGGGCTTCGTAGTGCTCCAGGGTCCTGAGGTCGTCACCAAAGTCATCGTCATTCTGGAACACACGGTGAGCCAAATTCAGCCACGGTTCCTGAAGGAAGGCAGGCATTCAAATCAGAGGTTTCGATCAGGTTAAACATCATAATAGCATGAATATGTTATGAGTTTTTGGCATACCAGCCTCCCAGCAGGAGACAGCAAGATCAGCATCCCGGAGCTTCGGCACAATGTCTGACTTGAAAACATTGACTATTGCTTGGAACCGCAAAGATGCCGGACTCGTGTCCGGCATCCTCCTCCTGGCAAAGACCACCTTGCCATCACCCTCCTCCTTGGGCGGGCGGCCTGGCTTTTTCTTGGCTTTGCCCTTTCCCGGACCTTTGCCCCCAGCTGCACTCTTCGCTTTTGCCTTGGCTTTACCTTTTGCTTTTGCCTTTGCTTTTGACTTCGGCTTCCCTTTTGCGCGTGCCATGGAAACCTCGGGCTCACTCGGCTCGTCCTCTGAGTCAGGCACCTCTTGGACGTCACCCCCCGGATCGGAGTGATCTCCTTCGGACAACTCTGGCCCATCCTCTTCCTCCTCCTCTTCGTCTGCCTTTGCCTTCTTCTTGCTTGCTGCACTTGCGTTCTTACCTCCTTTCTTTGGCGGCTCTGGCTCATCCTCTTCCTCTTCCTCCTCCTCCTCTTCGGTTGCCTTTGCCTTCTTCTTGCTTGCTGCGTTTGCTTTCTTACCTCCTTTTTTTGGCGGCTCTGGCCCATCCTCTTCCTTTTCCTCCTCCTCTTCGTCTGCCTTTGCCTCCTTCTTGCTTGCTGCGCTTGCTCTCTTGCCTCCTTTCTTTGGCAGCTCTGGCCAATCCTCTTCCTCTTCCTCCTCCTCTTCGTTTGCCTTTGCCTTCTTCTTGCTTGCTGCACTTGCGTTCTTACCTCCTTTTTTTGGCGGCTCTGGCCATGCCTCTTCCTCCTCCTCCTCTTCGTCTGCCTTTGCCTTCTTCTTGCTTGCTGCGCTTGCTTTCTTACCTCCTTTCTTTGGCAGCTCTGGCGCATCCTCTTCCTCTTCCTCCTCCTCTTCGTCTGCCTTTGCCTCCTTCTTGCTTGCTGCGCTTGCTCTCTTGCCTCCTTTCTTTGGCAGCTCTGGCCAATCCTCTTCCTCTTCCTCCTCCTCTTCGTTTGCCTTTGCCTTCTTCTTGCTTGCTGCACTTGCGTTCTTACCTCCTTTTTTTGGCGGCTCTGGCCATGCCTCTTCCTCCTCCTCCTCTTCGTCTGCCTTTGCCTTCTTCTTGCTTGCTGCGCTTGCTTTCTTACCTCCTTTCTTTGGCAGCTCTGGCGCATCCTCTTCCTCTTCCTCCTCCTCTTCGTCTGCCTTTGCCTTCTTCTTGCTTGCTGCGCTTGCTCTCTTGCCTCCTTTCTTTGGCGGCTCTGGCCACCCTCTTCCTCTTCCTCCTCCTCTTCGTTTGCCTTTGCCTTCTTCTTGCTTGCTGCACTTGCGTTCTTACCTCCTTTCTTTGGCGGCTCTGGCCATGCCTCTTCCTCCTCCTCCTCTTCGTCTGCCTTTGCCTCTTCTTGCTTGCTGCGCTTGCTTTCTTACCTCCTTTCTTTGGCAGCTCTGGCCATCCTCTTCCTCTTCCTCCTCCTCTTCGTCTGCCTTTGCCTCCTTCTTGCTTGCTGCGCTTGCTCTCTTGCCTCCTTTCTTTGGCAACTCTGGCCAATCCTCTTCCTCTTCCTCCTCCTCCTCTTCGGTTGCCTTTGCCTTCTTCTTTGGCTCTCGGGGCTCGTTCTCTTGCTCATCTTCCTCTGCCTTGGACCGCTTCTTGCCAGCAGTGGCCTCGGGGATCTTCTTCACTCCTGACTTCGGCGTCTCTGGCCAATCCCCTTCATCCTGCGCCTCCTCCTCTTCCTGGATCTTTGCCTTCTTCTTGCTTCCTCCTTTCCTTGGCACCTCTACCGGATCCTCTTCCTCCTCTTCCTGGTGACCTGGCCTCTTCTTGCCACTACTTTGGGGCCCATCCTCTTCCTCCTCCTCTTCACATGCCGATCGTGCACTTGCGAGGACACGCCGCGATGAGGCAGAGGAACGTGCATCTTTCACCTGCATGCGTACAAGGGAACGTCTTACACACACATACACACACACACACGGGTCAACAGAATGTAGTTCACCCGTGCACATGACGACCAGCACTTATAAATCGGTGCCTTCACGTTGCTCTTTGAGGCCTTGGGCTTCTGCTTCTGATCCTCCTCCACATCTGCATAGTCCTGCTGGGCGCACAATATGGTTTACAGATGTGTATATATATATATATACACACACACGTATATAAAGATCCATGTATGTATATATGTGTATATATATATACAAATACATATGTCCATGTATTTATTCGATGTCTCTCTCTCTGTCTCTATATATATATATATATATATATAGGCATCTATATATATATATATATATGTATATATAGGTACAGCTATGTATTAATGTCGTCCAGGTATATATAAGGCTTATAAGGTTTATGTATGTATGATATATATATATATATGTATATATACACACATAGTAGAGGGTTTGAATTAAGAGGTTTGTTAATTAAAAGGTCAGACCAGGTCAGACCACATGTGCATACTTGCATCCATACACATATATATAGCCATGTCTCCACATAAACACACGTGATAATCAGCCACACTCGCATGTTTTACATGTAGGTGCACAGACAGTACCATGTACAGAGGTAGTCGCATGAAATGATCCCAGTATATATCTATGTATATATGTATATACATATAAATATCAACATCTTGTAACTTATTTAGAGTGACACCACATCAAACAACTTTCCTATCTAATGCACCCGCTTCATATGTGATACCAGACTCGAAACTAAGCAGCAACGAACATGAAGCTCGCGTTCACCCCGATTTCCGCAAATCCAGTCCTCGGGCCAAGAGGCTCGTCGAGCCTGTCTCACAGTGTCCTCCAACACTTCACGCTCCTTCTCGGAATCCGTAGGTGACATGGATCTCGGCGTGGTTTTCGCCTCCTTCTCAAGTTCATCCAAAAGGTATCGTTGCGTTGCATCCGGAAAACCTATCACCTTTTCGGATCGAAGCAAGCGCTTTGCGGAGTCGTGGTCGAGCTTTGTTGTCAGCTTCAGAGGCGAAGTCTTTGTTGGTGGAGTCGCCGGAGCAGGCTCCAAGTGCTCGGTCGGGCCCTCCTGCGTAATCTCCGCTCCCTTTTTTTTTCTCTTTCTTGCCTCTCTTTGTGCAAACTGACCGACACGACTTACAACAGGAATCTCCTCATCCTCCTCGAACTCCCGGAGCATGCTTTGCAGAGCACTCGGACCTGTGTATTAAACAATAGAAGTGGGGAGTTTCATAGTAGTAGGTTTAAAACCAAGATAGATTGCATGACTCACTTTGCATGTTCCCATCGAAACTTATTTACGATTCAACGAACCCCATCCCTGCCTGTTGCAATGGGTTCTGGCGATGGAGCTACCATCTCAGCATGCGCAGCCGCGTCCAGCTGCTCTGCATCCACAACCTGGGTGTCAAGTGTAGACACATCGCCGTCCTGGCCCTCCTCATCCAGGATAATCACTCCGTAGCCGTCATCACAGCAGGCCCTGGGCACATAGGCAGCAAAAGCAGTTCATCGTTGTAGTACTAGTAGTGGTAGTCCTAGTGGTAAACCGCAGTACTTGCAGTAGTATTAGTTGTAGCACTAGCAGCAGCAGTAGTAGTACTAGTAGTAGTAGTAGTAGTAGTAGTAGTAGTAGTAGTAGTAGTAGTCGTAGTAGTAGTAGTAGTAGTAGTAGTAGTAGTAGTACTAGTAGTAGTAGTTGTTGTTGTGGTTTTTGAAGATCGTACTAGTAGTGCCTGTGGTAGTGGTACTGGTATTGGTAGTGCTAGCTAGTTGCAGCAGTAGTAGTGCTAGCAGAAGCAACAGCAGCAGGAGTACAGTAGTCACAATAGCAGTTGCACTAGTAGCGGTGGTGGTGGTGTACAATTTGCACATATCTACATAATGAAGTCAATCCTTTTTCAACATACCGAGGCGATACACTGTGTATATCAATCGACCCCTTTCCCCTCCAACCACGAAGTACCTGGATCGAAGGTGTTCTGAAATAGTGCAGGAAAAACACTTCAAGTAGTCGATCCGTTGCTGGAGCTCTTCGTAGCTGATCGCTTCGGTATCCCCTTCGAGCTTCTGGTACTCGTCCTGCTCGAGGTTCTCCTCATCATCGTCCTCGATCTTGATCACGTCCGGAATCTCCCGCTTCACCTTGTTGCTTTTGCCAGCCTCAGTCGTGAGGTCGATGAGTTGCATCCGCGGCCCCTTGTTGATATCTGGGAGCAGCTTTCCCCAATGCATCGAAACCACGCCGTAGAAGCTGTCGACGCCGGGGTCCTGCCACGGAACATGTGTGCATGGAATTGAAATAAATGTGCATACACCGGCTCCGAAACCCCATGCATGCATGCCAACCGTCTGTATGCACACCGTGCATACCAAGTTTGTTTCGACATGATATGTATATAGGTATATATATATATATATATATGTCTGTTTTAAATTGGCGAGAAATCCATGCTGGACACCCCCCCCCCGCCCATGCATGCACATGTCTAGTACGTTGCAAACCGGCCATATCTTGCATGCACACGAATCTCGACGCACCCGAAAACAAAAAGCTCTGCAATGTTTGTTCACCACATGCATCCACTCTCATCTACTAGTCTGTCCTTCCGGTTGCCTAGCTGCACTCCCCACCGCCGGATGGCAGTGGAGAACAGCTTCTTCATGCCCCAGCAGTCCATGTGGAGCAGACTCGCGCTTTGCTCCAAAGACATAAGGGCAGTGAACTTCTTCACCTGTCAGGGGGAGTTCTGAGGATTTAAACTCGTCATATGTGTGTATATGTATATATATATATACACAAACAGATGTATATATATGTGTATATATATATATATATATGTGTATATGTATATATATATATATATATATATGAATATATGAATATATGTATATACATATATATATATATAAAGATTCTTATATAGACATCTGTGTGTTACTGGTACGTCCAATGCAGGTGTGTATGTGCGTATATACATGTGTGTAGAGATGTCTATCTTATAGTACGTATAGTGCATATTCATGTGTTATCTGTATAAAACAACACACACCCATGCGTTTTGTTTATGCTATCTTGTCATATACATAGTACATGTCATTGTACACCGACATAATTAATATGCGCGAAGCACCTTTATTGGCCATTTCTGCACACCCAACCTCCTTGCGGATCCAAGCAATGGGGGGCGCTTTCACCGTCGTGCAAGCATTGCAGTAGACATTTGCAAAGATGCACATGACTTTCTGGTTCAGCCCCAGCACTTTCAAAGATGGCAACCCTTTCGCGAGGTCATTCTTCCACACCAAAAGCGCTTTGTTGTGCCGGAAGAGCTCACGAACTGCTCGGCTGTCTTCGAGGGCAGCCGCGAGGGGGGCATCAAAGGTGCATGGCTTGGGCATGGTTGAAAGATCTTGCAATAGATAGCTCTTTCAACCATTCTTGATATCCACTTGCACACTGGTCGTGTGACTGTGAACTAGGAGCTGAATGCGAACTCCAGCGGACATACATGTGTAGCTTCTATATAAGCTGCTTCGAGCAGGCGACTTCACCAGCAGCATGTGCTTTCACGCAGCCACACTTGTGTTGAAACCTTGCACCCTACTCACAGGCAGACGCATGCGTGATTCCACTGATACAATCATCATGCGACCCTGGCCTGCTCCAGCAGGCCGCCGGCCAAGGACGACGTCCAGAGTCCAGAGGATCGAGGTATCAAGCGTAAAAAGGAGTTGGGTGCAGGATTGCCATTGCACCACAAGGCGGTATCTTACAGTAAGTGTCGCTATCAAACCCCTGTAACTGCCATACCCCTGCAATGATAACTGAATCCGGTCCACCTGCCAAGTTTGATCCTGCCCGACCTGACATCGACGTGGATATTTACTCAGAGACCTTCAAAAGTAAAGAAGCGCCTGAGGCTTTGCGAAAACGCCTGCCCAGGTACAAAGGCGTTTAGAACAGGAAAGTCGGAATAAAGGAACACACCGGAAGGAGTAGGTAAACTTTCAAACACTCGAACCTGAAGCCCTAGACCCGCAACCTACCTTGTTTGTGAGGCCGCTTTTACTTCTATACTTGGGCTTGGAATAAGAGCCTACAGCTAACCGAAAATTATGGTAGGTTCGAACACCCCCCCTCCCCAAGTACCCTGTAGTGGAGGCCTTATGGTCCTCAGTAGCGGGTGCTTAAACTCTATTAAGGGGTAGTTTGGGGGGGTTAAAGGTCAAGGTAGGCCCTCCACTCTTTTGACCATGGCAAGCAAACAGAAATTAGGGTTGATGATATAAATCCTGCACCACCCACAATAAGGAGTAAACCATAACTCCCATAGTCTAGGGTAATGCAGATATTTATATCATCAACCGGTTGATTTTTTAAATCCTGCATGACCCATTATAAGGAATATATCGCAATTCCCGCAGTTTAGACTCCCTAAGGTAATGCAGGATTTATATATCATCAACCCTAGGTACCCGGGTTTAGGCTTTCGGCTTTCAGGGTGCGGAAACCCCTAAACCCCTGAACCTCTAAATCCCGAAAACCCTTATAGAACCCTTATAGATCCCATGTAGAACCCTTAAAGAAACCCTTAAAGGAACCCCTAAACCCTTGGACCCTTAGGGAGACATCCGCCGCATTTTTGGCAGCGGGCAGGATCCCGGGTGGATCAAGGCTTCGGGTTTCAGCTTTTAGAGCGTTTTTGGTTTTGGTTTAGGGTTTAGGGGTGTAGGGTTGAGGGTTTAGGGGTTTAGGGTTTAGGGGTTTTCGGGCTTATGGGGTTTAGGCACTTGGGCGTTTTAGGGCTTTAGGGTTCTCAGGGTTTACTAGTTTAGCGCCTAAAGAACCTACCTTTTCAAGAGCTCTGACTAGGAAACCCTATCCCCCATGATTTCGGGGGGGGACCTAGGAAAGTGAAGATTGCACTTTGGGAGGTCCCCCTCAGTGGTTTTACGGATGTACTAGTGGAGCATGTAGAATCCCGACCCTAGAAAACTTAAATTGGGTTCCGAGCTGGCAACTCCCCCAACAATTTTATCCCTAAAGACCTAAACCAGATTTTGGCAGGTCGCCCGGAACCCACCCAAGTTCCCTACCCCTAATCATCAAGCCGGTTCAGGTACAGCGGGCTTTTGGTGTGTGGCTTCTTAAAAAGGTAAATCCAATGTAATTACCCCCAGAGGGTCCAAGTACCCAAATAGTAGGGTTTTAGGTCCCAAAATCCATACTCTGAATGGTTTTTGGACCTTGAAACCCTACTATTTGGATACTTGGACCCTTAGGGTAAGATGATATAAACCCCAAAAGTTTAAATGGCTACCTACTTGGCTACTAAGGGTGACAGTGTTTAGGATTTGAGTTTAGGGCTTAGGGGGGCTTTCGATATTGATCTGTCCAGGGCTTTAGGGCTACTGGGGTTTGTGGGGCTTTGGGACTCGCACGGATTACGGCATTAGTGTGTTGAAACGTCAGGACCGTCTGCGTAAGCCCGAAACCCAAGCACTCACGCTAGATCCGAAACTCAGACTCTCGGCAGCAACGAAGAACTGCTGTTGCAGGCTCGTTTAATTGGGGCTGCTGGCGTTCCAGTCCTGGAAGACACAAGTTTGGATCTAGACATCAGATGTGGCGGCATGCGAAATTAGTGGGGCACTGCTTGGGCTTTGGACCCTTAGGGTAAGAGGGGTTGGGGCTGTGGGGTTTACCCGAACCCGATAAAGGCCCTGCAGACACTACACCAAAGCTTCCATCAAGACCCTACAACAGATTCGGCTCTAGTGGATTGCTGGCAGCTGTGGTGGACCTTCTGCTTCATGATGTTAGGCTTCAGGGCGTCGCGTTTCAGGCACAGGTATCTGGCATTTGGGAATTCAGGGTTTGGGAATGAAGTTCGTGAGGTAAGGTGCAGAACTCAGTCATCCGTTTGCATAGTGCTAAGGGTTCAGTTCAGGGGTTTAGGGGTTTAGTGTTTAGGGCTCATCATCTGCAGTGTGTCTGCTGGTAGTCTTCTGCGGACAAGTTTTGCGTAGGCTAGTTAGAGCATATCGGATTTCGGACCCATAAACCCGCAACCCTGCAAGGACAAGTCTTGCGCAGGTCAGTTGGAGCATATCGTATTTCGGACTCATAAATCCTCAACCCTGCAATTCTTAAACCCGAGACCCTAAACCCGTAAACCTACGAAAGCCTGAAGCCTATAGACCTCCAAGGTCCCACGACCTGAAACGCGACCCTACCTCCCTCAAAGACAAACAAACAAAAAAACGGCACAAAGACCAAAATCCGTAGACGCTCCAAAAACGAACGGTAAAACTCCACACCCCGTCGAAACCCAAGCCCTGCCCAACAAAAATCATCACTCGGGCTAAAGCCGTTCAGGGTATAAACAAAGCCCAAAGGGTCCTAGGTACTGTTATGGGGGATACTTCCCCAAATCATAATAGTAGTTCCTAATATAGAAACCCTACATTCCACCACATAGGTACTTGGGACCCTTTCTAGGCCTAAGAGTAACCTTGGAATAAAAAGGGTGCCCCTTTTGGCTTAAAGCAGGTTATACCGGAACCTAAACCCTAAAAAAAGGGAATAAGGGCCTACTCTGGGTCCTACCCTATAAGGCCCCAAAGTAGTTCCTTTTTTGGGGTTCGTATACAGAATCCTATAAGGTAATCCCAAAAAGGAACTACTACTTTGGGGCCTATGGGTAGGTTAGTCATCATCCAAAAAGTAGATCCCCTAATTTGGGGCCCTATACTACTAAGGGTACTTTATAGGAACCCCCATTGAGGGATCTACTTTTTGGATCCTCCGAAGGGGGTCTGGTTAGTCATCTTTCGGTGCGTCCTGGGGGAGCGTCCCTTCCTCAATGAGTCGGGCAATCTGCACGCGGAGGGGGACGTACCGCGACTCGTCGTGCCTCGAAGAGGCGACGGGATTGAGGAGGCTTTAAAGGGAACTCCAGAAAGTTGGAATATGGATTGATGGTAGGATCCCCTATAATCTACCTTAAAGGGTTTAGGATAACCATATTCCAACTTTCTGGCTTTTACTTTAGGGTTTGAGGGTTTAGGGTGAAACGGGACCGGACCTCTTGCTGTCTGTGCAATTCCTAGTGAGAAAACTCACAAACTCAGAGCATAAGAGGACTGGCATACGGGAAAACCCTAAACCCTGTAAACCCTAAACCCCCAAACTCCCCAAACACTAAACCCTTGACAAGTTTACAAGGAGGACAGCCGCAAAGAAGGCACAACAACAAGGTCGCGTGCTAATAAAAGCCCAGGTTGATCGAGGCTTCCCTGTAAGCTTGCAGAGGCCGAATCCACCGGCCTTTTTCTGTACAATAGGGGCCTCGACAGTTGATTAGAAGAGGTTCCCTTAAAGGGTTTCTTGAAGAAGGGGCCTAGGGTTACTATGAGAGTTCAATCATAAAGGGGTCTTAAGAATGAGAATAGGGTCTTGAACCATATTATAATATAAATATATTAAAGGACCCCCCCACAGAGTATTCGGTATTCGGTATTCGGTCAGGTCATCCGAGCTCAATTGAGCGCGACCCAAAATTTGCAAACTGCACAGAAACGGGTGAAACAGTTGTTGCTGTGTCATGGCCTGGCAGTGCAGAAGGGCGAGTCAGCCAGAAGTCAGTGGCCTGCTTGCGTGGGCCCTCTACTGTGACTTCCCCACAGTACGACGACATCCAGTCCACATCTCTGGGATGGGGCCGGTACAGCTGGGCTATACGGTGCAGGTCGAGATCGCCCTCTTCCAATCCCGCTGTGGCCTCGCTGTACGTCGGCGCTCGTGGGCCATACCACGGCACTGGCGGCAGAGTTGCCCTGTAAGATTGCCAATGGCCTCGCTTAATCTTAGCGCCTATGGCACGATCTGCTGCTTCTACCTCCTTGATTTCTGCCATGGTCAACGGAGGCATTACATGAAGGAGCCGCATCATGCAGGCTTTGGCATGTTTGAGGTGGTTATGCACTCTGGCCGTAGTGTGGTACCACCGCATACAGGCTCCGCAGTAGGGTCCGGCCACATAGTGTCGCACAGGAGATACATACCCGTGCTTACGCGCCAAATGAACCCCCAAGTGTTTCCTCAAGGGAAATGTGGCAGGACAGTGCGGACAGCGAAAGGCATGAACATTGGCAGTTGGCTCCTGTCGCGAGGTGGGAGGGGCTGCCGGCTTCTGGACCCATAGTTCCAGTTCCCGCTGATACGCGGTGATGGCCTTCCGGATTTGGGCCTTCCACCAATTGGGCTCGTCCTGGAGCACCTCACAGAGAGCTGTGACCGGGCAAGCCGCCTGCACGAGGAGCTGGGCGGCAGGCACATACATCGCTACCGCCTGTATGTCATGAGTGAATTGGTGTAGCCATGACGTGGCCGGTGTCTCTCGCCACTGCACATGCAGAAAGTGCAGTAAGATAGAGGGCCCTTGTGCGAGAGCTCGGGCGAAGAAGACCGCTCGCGCCTGTGCAAGTGCGAGCGGGGGAGAAGGCGCCTGGGCTGCATATAGGACATGCAGACTGTGAGGCGAATTGTCGGCTCGTGTCCACCGCAACAGCCCTCGCCAAAGAAGGAGATAGCATCTAGCCCAGGTGCGCCTGTGGGACTGGGCCGTGAGGTGCAGAATGGCACTGGAGAAGACAAATTTGGCCATCACAAGGGCCCTCAGCAGGGTTCTGCGAACCTCAATCGGTACCCCGGAGTCCGAAAAGAGCTTCCTTCGTAGCGGCTTGAGTGTGGACAAACCCTGGGCATGCCTGTACCTGATTTCCACATCAGGGGTAGCCCCCGCGACAGCGATGGTTCCGAGATGTTTGTAACTGTCCACGATGGGTGCCCAGTGTTCTTGCCTGGTGACGGGATTGCGAATGCTGAAACCGGGCTTACCTTGTGCATCGTGGGATACCATAGTCTGGTCCCTGTTGCAGTCTGAGGACAGCAGAACCGCGGTCTTGTCTTCGCCATAAGACAGAAGCATGCCAGTAGACGCAGTGATGCCCGCGATGAGCTCCATCGCTGCAACTGTATCCCGGCACAGTTGTGGCGAGGTTGGTCGAGACTGCAGAAACGTAAAGTCGTCTGCCCAGGCTGGCAGGCCCGCCGTACTTGGTACTTCCCACGTGTGCCATGGGGGTTGTGCTGTGACGAGCGGGATGGCGGTGGCGAGCCCCTTATCGGCGAGCGCCTGGTCGATGGCTTTGCAGCAGGCAGCAAACGAATAGGCAAACAGCAGGTCGGCTGCCGGATCTCCCGGCCGCGTTCCTCGCCGAGTCAGAACGAGGGGGGAGTCTCCTTGCAGTTTGAACCAGGACCCTCGAAAAAGGTCAGCGGTCTGCTGTATGAGGTGTGGCGACACCTCTGCTTCGCTCAGAACTGCCATGCTGTTGAGATGCTGCACGAGCTCCTGAACCGCATCAGGCGGAACGCCTAGGTCCCTGATCAAGGCAAGAAAGGCTGCATCGTCGGGTTCCTGTGCGGTGGGGACAAGGGTTTGCCTTATGATGCGGTAGAACGCCGACTTCAAATCGAAGAAGGCCACCGCGGCAGGTTGCTTGCGATGGCGTGCCCATACTTGATATGCTCGGACAGTAAGTCCTACGGCATCTACTCCCATTCCCGGCAGTTGTCCGGCTTGAGCCTCTGGCTTGTAATCCCCGAACGGCGGAAGCAACTTATTGCGCAGCAGCCGGTGCTGCAGCTTGGCTGTCACATTGGCGAGGAGGATGGAACGGAAGGCAGTGCACTCCAGCGCCGCAGCGGCGCGCTTTGCGAGGGTAATCAAGCACCCTCCGCGCCAGTCCACTGGCTCACGCAACCCTATACTAGTCTTCAGGCACAGTGGATACAGGGCGCGCGCAGTTGACGCTGCATGCAGCCGCAGGGCTTCCGCGGTAAGGCCGTCCGGTCCTGGCGCCTTACCCAGGCGCAGGCCGAGTATTTGCTGTTCCAAATCGTGGAGAGTGGGGACGGCCAGGACGTCAAAACAGACTCCTCGTGTGTCGACAGGAATGTCTGGGCACTTGAATGCCTGAGTGTATTCAAGAGGCGTGACGATGCGCCCACTCTCCTGCTCCGCAAAGAAAGCTGTCCACCTCTCTTGTCTGGCTTGGCCAGTTGGGGCAAGCTGGCCATCCTCCATTCTGACGGCTGGTAGTGGCATAAAGCTCTTTCGCCGAGCAGATCTTGCCGCAGGGAAGGCAGCTCTGACCGCTCTGTAGAGGTGCTTGGGCTGTCGCAGGTCCTGCACAGTGATGTTGGCTCGGAGCCCCTCCAGGTAAGAACAGCGATCTCGGCGGATTGCCGCTCTGATGGCCGTAGTGTGTTCCTTCAGTAGCTGAAGCGCCCATGCGATGCTGTAGTCGATCTGCTGCATCCACGTTGCTGCGACCTGTTGTGCATGGGGTGTGAGAGGAACACCTCGAGTTGCATGCACTAACGCTGCGAAGGAGATGAGGAGGTGCCTTCGGTTGAGTTCTGCCTCTTCCTGACGCAGGTATTCCCGGAGCGCTGTGCGTCTATGAACCAAGGCCACGGTATCAGGCTGGAGATACGACTGTGTGGGCGGCCGGGTGTGCTGAGGGTGAAAGGCAGTAGCAACACGACGCATGGCTTGGGTCCATATATCGCTGTGGGTGTCGACTGCGGTGTTCCACGGAACTTCCGGCATCGTGGTGAGTGCAGTGCGTCTGGCAAGCGCATCTTCAGGTGTGCGAGCGAGACTGGGTCGACATGTAGCTTGCGCACGCCGTGGCTCATAGTAGCTGGGGACGTTGTGCTCAAAGGCAACTGTTAAACAGACGGGCAGGTGGTCTTGTCGGGTATGAAGGGCCTCGAAAGTGTGCCATACCCAGCTTGCCTGCAGGAAGGGCTCCCAGTTTTGGGGAGTGACCACGTAATCAATCCTGTGCTTGGTAGCTGCTGGTGGAGCAGTGGTCCATGTCCAATGTTGACCACCATGGACATGTGAAAGCGTTGAGGGCAAGAGCCCTTGAATGGCCAGTAGAAAGTCGTGGCAAAACTCCCCTTCGGCATTCTCCTCCTCGGCCCCGTGGTCGGCAACTGCTTCTGTAGTGATCGTGCCAAGGTGTGCATTGGCATCCATGAGTACTAGGTACTCCGCACATGTAGGTCGAGCGAGAAGATCGGCCGCTCGCTGCTGCCAAAAGGCCCGAACCTCAGCTTCACCTGCCTGCGCAATGCGAGGCGCGTGCAGCACCAACACAACGAGGTTGATGTGTGGTGTTTCGATCAGGGCTTGGAGGTGGCGCGGGGAAGTCGCAGTCACTGTGACCTGATTTCTTCGAACATGATGTGAGGTGCCGGCTGCCGTTGCAAGTGGCACTCGGAGGTTAATCCAGAGGGCACAGCCACCATGTCCTCTGTGGTCAGCCTCCGCACTGAGAATTAGGAAGTCCTCATCTGGAAGCACCCCGGTAGTGGGTAGTCGCGTTTCTTGGAAACCAGCCAAGAGCACAGCGTGTGCCGAGAGCTGTTGTTTGATGAGGCATTTCTTGCCCGTGATGAGGAAGCCAAGATTCTGAGTCCTGGCATCCTTGCCGTGGGGTGCCGTGGGGTCGAACATCGTAAGTACATTGAAGGTCATGGCTGTGAATCTGAACTTGACATGAGCAGTCCTGATCGGTCCCCCTTTGTGGCAAGCTGTGGGTGGGAGAGCATCCTGTGGCAGTCGCTGCAGCCGATTTGCCTCCGTTTCCAGGGCCTCTAGGGCGGGCAAATCGTGTTTTGAACTCACTGCCATCCAGCACCACGGGCAGAGGCGGTGCTGACGAAGACAGGCTGGCCAAGAAGGCAGGCAGATCTGCTGCCACTCTCTGCACAGATTTCTAGCCCATCGGGAAAGGATATCGCATAGCTCGTTTCCGAGCTCGCCGGAATGTCCTTTCACATGAGTGTGGACAATGGGCACATGTGTTTCGACGGCCTGGCGGAGGGCGCCAGCAAAGGCTGGCAGTTCCATGTGTCCATCGACACTAGGGTGTCGAACCTGTTTGGCAGCGGCAAAGGTGCCCGCTCCGGCTGCAGTGCAATCATACCTAATTTCTATATCTAGGCCGAAGGTCAACCCTGAATCCCACGTCCACACGAGGGCCCAGACCAGCGCAAGAAGCTCAGCTTCTAGCGGCGTGTCGCTGTGTTCGCCCACATAAAAGGGGGAATCAGTGTGCATGGTTGGCTGCGCACTGTAACCCACAAAAAGGTGGAGGTCCCCAATTACCGCCCAAACCGCGAATGCCCATGCTGCCGGCCGGATATCAGCACCGGGTTTCTCTTTGTCTGGTGTTGCCGAGCCATCTGTGTAGACTAGCAGTTTGGTGACCTGTTCCGCTAGCGGGTGGGTGTGCCACCTGGGCATGCGAGCGATTTTATCGCGCAGATCTGTCGGGATATCAGATTGTGCCAGAGGCATGCTAAGGTCATTGTCAAGCCAGTCTGACTGGCGCAATGCTACCGCCGTACCTCGATGTGCCGGTGGTTGTGGCAGGATTTGTTGGAGCTGCTGCACTTCCTGCTGGAAGGGACTTGCTGGCACAGCGTCAGCTAGACTAAGTGGTAGCGGAGCAGGCTTGGTCTCGGCCTTGCATGTCGGAGTTGTGGCATCCTGTTCGTCGGCAGGAGGTTGGAAGTGCTCCTGGAGGGTTTCAAGCAGGGTGGCTGCAACCCACATAGGACTGGGGCTAGTTTGGTGGCATGCCTCTTCCAGGAGAGTTGGACCAACTTGTTCTGCGGCATTGGCTACCGCATCCGGCTCAGGCCGTTCCATGTCGGCCCTAGGCTGCATGGGCAGTGCTCGGCAGGGTGTCGGCAACGGCCGGCCGATATGAAGGGTATGGGCACCCTCTGTTTGCACACTTTGTGGGCTGCACTCGGCACGGCAAAAGGCTTGTGTCTGTGAGAGGCAGTCCTGTGATGAGCCATGGGGGAGGCCCGGAGGCAGACTTAAGTGCACTTGGGTCTCGTGGTGCATTTGCATTGCTGTCCCAGGTTGGACGAGCACGGCGCCAATGAGCCAACTGAGGAATATAGCGAGACCGGCCGGCCTGTCTTTGTGCAGGACGTCTCTGTGTGGGTGATGGTGCCTCTGGACATGGTGCTGGCCATGTTGCCGCGGCCGTCCCTCCGGCTGGATGTCCGCTGGGAGAGGCGCATCTGTGGCGGTCCCACCTGGAGTCGGAGGCTGCAGCCCTCGCTGGTGTGGCTGATTGCCGGGGGTGGTGCCCGGACGGCGCAGGGCATATTCTTCGTCATAATTGTCACCAACATCCGTGCGAAAGGTTATGGCAAAGAAGACAGTAATGGCTTCTCCTGCACCGACCCTGAGCTGGCCAAACAGGTCACGTCTGCCCCCTATGAGGCATGCCTGGTATCCCTCTGGGCGATGGAGGTTGCATTTGTCGAGAACGGCCCTCTCATTGACAATCCCTTCGTGAGCAAAACCCCAAGTGATGCCGCAAAGTATTGGCCTGGCATCCAAAATGAACATCACAGCTTCGCCGTTTGTTGTGGGGTGCTCAAGGCGGGCGTCTGCCGATGCAATGTAGACGTTGTCTGCTGGTATGCCTCGATCGCAGGAGTCCTCCAACGGAGGGCGTGCTGGCTGCAAGTGGTAAGTGGCAGGAAGGCCGAGATGGTGCCCAAGCTCTTGTCTGAGAAAGCGCCGGCCCTCCGCTGGCATGTGAAGTCTATGGGAACCTTCGTCCGTCATCACGTGCAGCCAGGCTCCGGCGACAACGGGCGGCAGGGCATGGGGTTCCCACCCATTTGGGTCCTGCAGTCTGTCTTGTGAGCTGGACACAATCAAGATACCTGCTCCTTGCGGCAGCAGGGAGACACAGCTACCTATCTGCAGGGTGATAACCTCGTGAGGCTGCAGGGGTCCCAGTAATCCTGGCACGTAGACATCAAGCTGCTCAGTAGATGCAAACCCTGCATGGGCTAGCAGCGTTGTGCGATCCGTCCTGTGTGGGACGTGCACACAAAAGACACTGCCATTCACTTGCGCACAGTTGAAGGCTACGTACAGATCAGTCGTCCATGCTGGCAGCGCAAGCAGGAGGATGCAGCCCGCAAGGGGTTGGTCGACCACAGGTTCCAATCGTGGATGGTAGCCACGGCGGGTGGCTGCGCGGGCCTGCTGGATCCTGTCCAGTGCAACTGCAAAATGGCTCTGTTCGGGCAATTGAACTGACACTCGTTCAGGCGTATACTCTGGCGTGAGCAGGAGGAAAACTGCGGTGAAGGTGGGTCCTCCCACACCCCTTCCCGGGCTGTTTACCGGGATTGGAGGTGGTGGCCCAGCAGGGCCGCCGGCAGGGCCGCCGCGTCTGGAGGGTCGACTGCGCGATGTGCTGGAACTAGTAGCCGACAGGTCTGCACTGTCGGGTGTGAGCTGTCGGTCCGTTTCTGGTGGCTCCATGGCAGCATCTTCATCTGAAGATACCACTTCGGAGGTTTCGGTATCTGCGTGTTCCGTGTCGGCCTCAAGAGGGAGTGCGCGTCTCTGCAGGACATACGAAGCATATAGAAGAGTGCCGGGCTGAAAGCAGAGAATTCCGTCCTCTAGGGTTGGCCATTCTATATGCAGCTCCCAGCTGGGAGGGGCAAATGTCTCGAGGACCGAGCGAAATTCAGCATAAGGACGTTTTCCGTCCGGCTCAGCAAGGAGGTCCCATCCTTGATGCATTGCTCTGCAGTCTACTATGCCAAGGATAGGGGTGCAGGGATTTGTACCGTCTGACTCCTCACGTCCGAAAATCAAGCCCGACACGGCACAGACACTCCGGCAGGGGCGACCTTGTATGGCAGCGTCGTGTACCGATGGCACAGCTGGCTGGACTGTGATATGCTCCATGGGTATGGAAAAAGCCCGGGATAGCACCTGCAAGCTACCGTAGGCCTCCTCGTTGTCGAAGCAGAAGAATTGATGACCCTTGTCCGTGACGACGCACATGCAGGGCGAGTCAGGACCACGTGGCACGTATGGATGGTCGTGCCATGAATCTGCCGATAAAAGTATGTCGGCAAGGTGGTAATACGCCCCCGGTAGGGCGTGTTGGGGAGTGAAGAACAGGCACATTCCTTGATGCAGCTCCGCCTGCTCATGTGGAGGCAGGGGATCCGGGCTCGCACCGACATACACGTCGATGGGATCTTCGGCTCTGAAACCAACGAACTGTAGCAAGGTGGCACGTGTGGCATGGGCAGGTCCTAAGTCTGCGTAGAGGCGCCCATCGATCTCCTGAAGATCTATGCACAAGCAAACATCTGCATCAGACCATGCTGGCGTAGCAAGGACCAAGCCAAAATGCGGCGATGGCATAGGCCGCACGTCGAGGAGCCTTGGAAACAGCCTTGCGTGTACCTGGTCGCGTTCATCATTGAGAAGCGCTAACGCGTCCGCCACATCTACAGGGGCTGAGAGGGTAAGGGTTACCGTCTCTACTTTGTAGCCTGTCGTGAGGATGGCGAATGTAAAATCCTGTGCTGGATCCAAATCCATATGCTCCTGTTGCAGGATTGGGTCAGTCAAGGCCTCCGGGGCATCATTGGCTGGCAGGGTCGGCCATGGTCGGCGGTCGTGTAGCTCATACGCTCGAAGCCGCTCAAGATCAGCCCTTTGAGCGGGCGTTTGTGAGCTGGGCTCCTGGTCCAGACGCTGTTCCCGCTTCGGCATTTTACCTCCCAGCAGTAGACCAACAAATGCTATGCCAAGGAAAACAGGGGTTGAATGCAAGTGTCGCGCGGCAACCGACAAATGATATGAACTTGCATCCCACTTGTACATCTCGGCATGAGTCGCGTCAAAGGGGAAAGCAGGGAAGCCATATGCATGCCTGTGCGAGGAGAAGAGAAAGGGGCCGTGGTCCTCCCAAGGGCCGCTTGCATCTGCCTCGCTACCTGCATGCAAGGGGTCCGGGCACAGATGTCTCCAGTGAGCCTTCACCCGAGCGAGCTGGTGGAGCTTGGCCAAAGGCTGTCGCGGGCTCCATCGTACTGGGCTAGCATTTAGCTGCCATGGGCTCAGGGGGGAGGTCTTATAGGGCCTATCACAGGCACGTTGCTTACCACTCTTAGGTGTCCAGTCCAGTATGGGCCTGGAAGGCGTTCCAACGTTGGCAAGACTGGTAACAAGAACTGCATGTACACCTGAGGTGGGCATCCTGATGAGTCGCCAGAGCGGTTCCCCTTTGCCAGGTAGTGCATGGCAAAGCAGGGCCCAAACGCCGAGTAGACAAAGGCCACAAATGCTGCGTCCAAGCGGCACAATGAATGTAGCAAACCTGTGCAGTAAGGCAGTCATCAAGGACCAGCATGTCGCAGTTAGGCCAGAAGTCAAAGCCGGTCGTAGGCTCGCAGTGACAGCTGTCTGACAGCGGCTGTGTCTGTGGATGCGGGAAGAGATAGAGTCAGTGCCAGGTCTATGGTCAGCCGGGAAGGACAGGGTTTCATCCGGCAGCCAGGTCGGGGGGGGCCTAAACCACAAAACCGCAAGGGGCAGAGTCGAGTCCTTATAGGCGTCAGAGCATGTGGTTTCAAAAGGCATGTTGGCCGCTTCGCTGCTCCATGTCTGCAGTCCGGTCCAGGCGAAGGACCCCGAGCCACCGATTCCTTTCTTCGGCGCGCTGGACAGTCGGACTAAGACTCTGCGCTGATAGGTCGCAGATAGCTGTTTTGCAGGCAAATGACTCCAGAGAGGAGGGGCACAGTAGCAAGGTCGTGGGGACAATGGTCCTGAAGTGCAGTCCATGCAATTCGGATCCTTGTCAGGGAGGTGCATAGTTGGCTGGCAGCTATCACAAACCCAATGATAGCATACCCTCCAATAGCACTCAGAGGAAGCCATGACACAGCCCCTGCACACTACTTTATTGGTGTAAGACCGTCCGGGTGTTTCTGGACAAAGTGCCGGAGGGGCACTGTGGATCCTAAGGTCTGTACAGGAAGCAAAGGAGCTAAGCCTCATCATCTCAGATGGCTCAGGCAGCCGCTTCGAACAGGCGTCGCTGTTCGCCCTCAACCCGATGGGCAACTGTTCGTTGTAGTGACTTACTGGCGAACCCATGATCCAGCAGTCACTACCAACGTCCGGGCCCGCCAGGGAAGGAGATGCAGGACACGTGTCCGTCGCAGCTACCTGGGTGCCTGTGTCCCAGGGCAGCGTTACTCCAGACTTCCCATGCCATCGTCGTCGTCCGCTATGAACTGTGGCTTGCTTTCCGTCCTCAGTCCTGCTGCAGCAGCTGCTGCCATGACTTGATCCTCTGCCATCTTCGCCATCTCGGCTGCCCTCTTGGCCTCCAGCTTGCTGGAGAGGTCGGCCCCATGGGCTGGTTCCTGTGCTGGCGGCTGTCTGGTGGCTGTCTTGATGCTCTCTCTCGGGGGCTCTTCCGATGTTGGGACCCGTGCTTGTGTTGCATCTCTTTGTCCTGGGTGTCGCGGAGATGGTGTGCTTGCAGGAGGGCGGGCCTTGTTTGGTTCCCCAGTCTGGGGCCCTCGTGGCTCCGATCGTAGAGCGGCGCTCGGTGTCGTAACCGGCGATGCCGCTGGCTTTGGAGACTGCTGTCTCCCTCGCCCTAGCTTCGGTGTCCCCGGCTTGGACTCCCTCTTGGCAGGGGATCCAGCTCCAGGGTGTGAAGCGGGCGGCGCAAGGGCTCTCTGAAGCACTCCATGATAGTTCTGTGCTTCCTCCTCCTGCCACATTGCAAACATCTTGTCCGTATCCACTGCACTTTGGTACACCGCGGCTGAAGGGCCAGCTACGTCTCCAAGGACAATGGCCCGCACCGTTGCTCTGGCCATCTCCCTGGCCTGCTCGGCTTCTTGAATGTCTCGGTGCATCCTGTCCACATTTTGTTGGAATCGGCGATGTTCCTTCTGGTATGCCTCTTTGAGCAGGCGTTCGTAGGTGTCCCACTGTGTCCTCGCCGTTGCAAGTAGAGCTCGTGCTTTGGAGCACTTGTTTTCCGCCTTTCTCGCACCATTGAGAGCCTCCTGCATGGCAGAGACTGAGAGGCCCTGTGGATCTGGTAAGGCCGTCAACTCGGTTGTCTCCGTCGTTCCAGTTGGCGGTCGAATACCATCGTAGCCTGGGAAGGGGCGTGCCCTGGCCTTGGGATCTGCACGCCAAGGCGGCGTCGTGGGTTGGTTGCCCTGAGGCCATGCCCCAGACCAATACTGCCAGGATTGTGAGCCATCGTCCTTGGGTGCCCGAGGCGCGGTGGGCCACTGTTTGGGTCCTCTCCCCATTTCTCTGGCGTACTGGGGTCGGCTGTGATGTGCTTCGAGGCGAGCAAGGTCTCTGCGTAGCAGTGGGAGCCCGGCGAACCTGCGAGCGTGCAGGCGTCGTCGCGCTCTGGATCGTAGGGCCCTGGCACGTCGATGCCAAGTGGGCGAGCCAATCGTTTTGCTACAGCCTGAAATCGTGAACTATTGTCACTGGGGCCCTAGGCAATCTCGCCCTCTGCGAGTGTTCCTGAGCCCTCCACAGAGTATTGGCAATTATTTAGGTCCCTAGATTATGCTTGAACCTAGCTGTATTGACCAGCTACCCAGGTGCCGTCGTAAACAAATGTTTTTTTTTACTAGTGGCCCGGCTCGTGGAAGTACACATCTACTGCCCAAAGGGTCCTAGGTATTGGTATGAAGGATACTTCCCAAAATCATAATAGTAAACTCATACTATAGAAACCCTACATTATACCTCTATAGGTACTTAGGACCCTTTGGGACAGGGAGATGATATCGTTCGGGGCTTGATGGGCCTCTTTCTCTGGGCATAAACGTAAAAATATAAACTTGTATAGCAAAATGGCTCCTTTAAGAACAAAGTATTAGAGTATGGTACTCGAAAGCTCCGTAAACTTTGGATTGAATTTCACAGAATGTCAAAGCGCCTGGATGGTTAAGACGTCTTGAAGCCTCTATTCCCCAAAGGGTCCAAAGGACCCACTAGGGTTTAGAGGGTATAGAGTTTAGGAAATTGGGTTTAGGGTATAGGGTTTGGGGTTTTGGGTTAGGTAATTACTCCGCTTTAGGATACTTGTTATGTAGATTAGGATTTTGGAGAGTGTGCGGTTGTTAGTTACTTGGGTTCTAGGGGTGCCTGGCACTGGCAAGATATTTAGGGATCTAAGGACTCACATATTAAGGCTTCCGGAGCCAAAAACCATGCTATCTAAGGCTTCTGGGCTGTTTTGATCCCCAGAGTTACATCTAGACTTCAAAGGACCGAACTTGCAGATTCCGCTACCTAAACCCAGACCCCCGGGAGAATCCAAAAAGTAGATCAGGCAATAGGGGTTCCTATAAAGTACCCTTAGTAGTATGGGCCCCAAATTGCCCGAAACCCTCAGCCCTAAACGCCTAAACCCAAAACCCCGAAACCCCTAAACCCTAAACCCCTAAACCCGAAACCCCAAGCGACCCGAAGCCAGCCTCTCGTTCAGCTCCAGCTGCAAGCAGCGATCCTGACGAAAATGACTCCAAGCTTTAGCTTCCCAGAGAGCCCAATACCCCCTTGATTAAGGAATATGGCCTAAACTATAGAGTGCTTCACATTATGCTTTAGGCTATATTCCTTAATTAAGGGGTATTGGGCTCTGTGGGTTCTACCCACCCCTCAAGTACATTGCTTGTTGCTCCAGGGGACCATGACCGAAGACCCCCAAGTACATTATCTCAGGTGGAATGTCCAAGGGAAAGCAAATGTACTGGGATTCCTACTGGACTCGTCGGAACAGGCGGACATGTTCTTCGAACCCCGAGACATCCATGTCACACCCCCCTCCAAAGTACATGTGTCAGGGGTCATGTCAGGATTAGGGTCAGGTGCGGTGTCTTTGCAAGGCTGGTCCGTGGGTTGTGGATGAAGGGCTCATGCCTTGTGGTGTGTGCCCCATACATCCCTGGGGTTTGTTCAACGTATTACCCATCGTATACGCTTAAACGCGAAACCCTAACACCCTATCGGCCCTGATTGGCTTGGTCCAAGTGAATGCCCCAGACCGCCGCTAATGTACTTATGAAAACATGCAAACTGTTCGGCAATGCGAGCTGTCCCGCCCAAACACGCACGGGGTCCTCCGAACGCTTTCGTCTCTCTCGTTCCTGGGTGAACATGTCTGGGAAGACTCGTAGAGATCTGCAGGTCTTTGTTTACCATGTAACAGGAAGTCGGCTTCACAACATGTAACACGTAGAGGTCCAATTTCAGGCTTTGTCACTGTCAAGATGAGCTCACAACTCACAACCTTAAACCGAGTGAGCCCTGAACCTCCACAGCACCGGGGCTGAGGTTTTAGGGGTTAGGGTAAACCCTGAACACCAACGTACCAATCAGAACGAGCTGCAACGAGACGGCGGCCTTCCGCGGACACCTGCAAATTGAAATCGTCCAGGTCTTCTTGTTTGGGGTGTAGGGCTGAGGGTTTAGGGTATTTAGGATTTAGGGTGTAGGGTTAATGATTTACGTTCTAGGAGGTTAGGGCTTTAGGGTTTACAAGGATTTAGGGCTTAAGGGCTTAGGGATTTAGGAATTATGGGGTGTAGGGACCTGGGGTTCTGTGAAGTGTTCTATAGCGGGTTCTATAATGCTATAATGGGCTTCTACTTTACAATGTCCAGACTGCAAGATGGATCGCTTCGGGCTCAGGTTAAAGTTAAAGGATTCCAAAA